CCTCATTTAATCCCCTTCGTCCTTCAGGAGCTTCGCTGGCCCCCTGTAGCTTCAGAGTCCAGTTCAAATTTCTCCTCTTTACATTCAAGGTCCTCAATGATCCTGCTCCTCCAGTCATCTCAGCTCTCCTTTAGGTTGTTGCCACACCTCAGACCTCTGATTTTTCCATTTGTATTTTGAAAGATGAGCAGCAGAATGAATCAGTTCAGACTAAATAAGGAACTAAGTTTCCAGTGGTCTTCATAAAAATCATACCTTTATTAGAAGCTGTTATCTGTGGGGATCTTGGTAAAGAGTTATTGTTGTATTATTAAAACGCTGCGTTCTAACATCCACCCCTTTAGTCTGTTCCTAAAGATATTTTGTTTGCAGGGCGACAGAGAAACATTTGAGAACTACTACAGGAAGCAGAGGAAGAAACAGGCCCGCCTGGTTCTGCAGCCACAGGCTAACATGGTGAGGATCCTACATGTTTCTACCTTCTTGTCCTGGAATAACAGTCGTACTGCAGAGATGGGCAGCAACTGAAATGTTTTTTGTTTACTCTGTGTTTAGCATGAAACGGTGGAAGGCTACAGAAGATACTTCAACCAGATTGTGGGGTAAGACCTGCCTTTCTGTTGGCTTTGCTTCTGGGTGGGCTGGTGAGTTCTGGAAAGTGCAGACCTATGTTTGTCTCCAGGTTCTTTGTGGTAGAAGATCACATCCTCCATGCCACAAGGGGGCTGGTGACCCGAGCTTTCACTGATGAACTGTGGAACATGGCCCTGTCCAAGATCATCGCCGTGCTCCGCACACACTCTGTAGGTCTCACACTCTTTAGGTCTCTCACTGTCTGTAGGTCTCACACTCTGTAGGTCTCACACTCTGTAGGTCTGTCACACTCTGTAGGTCTCTCACACTCTGTAGGTCTCGCACACTCTGTAGGTCTCTCACATTCTGTAGGTCTCTCACTCTCTGTAGGTCTCTCACTCTCTGTAGGTCTCACTCTCTGTAGGTCTCACACTCTCTGTAGGTGTCACACTCTCTGTAGGTCTCTCACTCTGCA